AGCATTTGGATTTGTATCCGGTTTTTTGTACTTTGTTTCTCCAAAAATTTCTCGTTATTCTTTAGAGCCAATATTTTTAAAAAAAAAAAATTTATAATTTTATTAGAAACAATTTAATTTAATATAGCCTATCAATTTTATTTTTAAAAATTTTTATTCGTTCACCATCATGATAACAACAAAAAAAAAAAAAAAAAAAAAAAATATTTATAAAAAAAATCATTTGTTATAATTTTTTAAATATTTTTTTTTTGCACAAAGGAATCATAAAATATCTTTATAAAAAATAATAGTTTTCTATTGGTCAATTCTGTGATATGAACAATGTTCATGCGATCTAAAAAAAAAAAATTTTATTTCTTTAAAAAATTATATTTTATATATTATATATAAATATTATATATATCAATATGAAATTTTATTAATAATATTTTACAAAGGTTTTTTTTTTTTTTTACTTTATTAGATTAAAAAAAAAATTATATATTTTAAGTTCTATATGCTCTATTTTTTCTATATTTATGTAGTTTTACACAAAGAAAGACAGCACCACCTATTAATAAAAATGGGGCACCAACTGTGAAAGCAGCAGCGTAGAGTGTAACCTTCTTTGCCATCTTTAAACGTCTATGTCTTCTTCTTGGTGGTGGAGTATAGTCGTTCATTGCATATGGTGAATAATATTGACGATCATAACAATCGGGATATTCAGCGTCAGCATAATGGCCTGGTAAATATGGATTTAAACATAACCAACAGTATTGATGTTGACCTTTTGAGTTAAAAAGAAAAAAGAAAGATTAGTATACACTATAAGATTATTTATTAAAATAAAAGTTTTACATACAATTTGTGCATGTCATATGGTTACAACCAGAATCTTTTTCAATAGGAGAGGTGCATTTTGGACAAGGTTTGACATTATGTTTGTTGGTTTCATACCATTCTTTATATTGAGCTGTGGCGGTTTCAATCGATTTATTTTTTCTATCTGATAATTGCATAGCTTCAGAACCGCATTTAACACCTTGATGAGCATACTCGCCACAAATCCAACAAAATTCATTTTTACATTTTGGACATGTCAATACTGGATCCTCTGCACTGCCACCCCTAACAAAAGTATCGCAATCTGGTGTTGGGCACCATTTAATTGGTTCGGTTTTTAATGTTGCTAAAATTGAGAATTTTTGATATTTGGTCCAATGCTTTTGGTCGACTAAAACATAGATATCACTCTCTGGTAATTCTTTTTTACATTCTGGATGTGGACATGAAAGATCTAAAACTCTACCTTCAATAATTAAAAGATTTAAATAGGATGTAATACAATCGAAACAATATGAATGGCCGCATTCAGATAATTGGTAAACTTCGCTACAACAATTATATTCCATATAGCAAATTTTACATTCTACTGGTTCATCTAAAGGTGCTGGATTGTTTTTTTGTTCTTCTACTTTTTCTTTTAATAGTTCAAACTCTTTCTTTTCAATAATATTTTTATCGCTATCACTTGAATCGCTACCACTTTCACTTTCTGATTCGTCATCGTAATATTCTTCCTCTTCCTCTTCCTCTTCACTTTCGATTTCATATACATAATTATTTCTTTTACTTCTATCTAAAACAATTTTACCATTATCATATTTTTTTCTAAGTTTCCCAAAGCTAATAATATCTTCGTGTAATTGTTGTCTGCTAAATGATGCTTGAATGGTAGGTAAGGAAAATCTTCTTTGGTTCCCTATTACATCAGATCTATTTTTAAATCTATATTCCAAATATTGTGGTGGTAATGGTGGTAGTGGTGGTGAGGGTCTACTGGTTGAGGCTTCATCTGGTTCAAATAAGATATCCAAACCTAAACTATCATAGCTTTTATTGGCAGTAGTTGAGGTTGTGGTAGTTGTTGTGGTGGTTGTTGTGGTGGTTGTTGTTGTAGTTTTTTTTGGAGTTGGAACATTTGATGATGATAATCTTAATGGTGGAGGTTTTTGGTTGTTTGAATAAATATCAGAGGATGGTGAGCCAAATGGCATTGGTTTTCTATTTTTTAATGCTGATCTTAGTTCATGTGACTCTGCAAGGCCGCAATCTGAATCTGAATCCGAACATGATGAATCAGAGTCATTATATTTTGATGGTGAGGTTGTTGTGGTTGTTGTGGTTGTTCTTTTTGGTGGTCTATAAACCATCTCTTCTTCGGATGATGATAATTCTAAATCTGATTCGTTGCTATCTTTAATTGCTGGTTTTCTATTTTTATTTGATGTCGATGTTGTAGTTCTAGTGGTTTTGGTTGAGGTATACTTTGGTTGCAAGGTTTGGATTGATGCTAATAAATGTTCAATTGTTTCAAGAACTGCTTTATGATCGGTATCGTTGGTAGTGGTTGTTGTAGTTGTAGTGGTTGTACTAAAAACACTGCTATTATTATTACTATTAAAATTATAAGGTCTATTAAAAGGAGTTGGTTTAGCAACTGGTACTGATGGTAGAGTTGGACCAAAAGTTGAGGATCTTGGACGAACTTGATAATTTGTTGGAAAACTAAAATTTCTACTATGTTTGGTCGAGTTTTTATTTGGTATTGGTCCAGATGATGAAGAAGATGATAAGGAATCATCATCATCATCAGATTCCTCTATTGAGTATCTTCTATTAATTTGTGGTAATTGTGGTACCTGTGGAGTTTTCTTTGAGTTTTTATTTTTCTTTATAATCGATGAAAGTTTATTTTTTGTTGATAGTATTAAATTTGGTTTACTTTTCTTTATTAAATCATGAGATGGAATTATTGACTCGACATCACTATCGCTACTATGATTATTGGTATTATCATTAAACTCTGGTACATTAAAGTTAAGTTCTCCATCTTCACCACTAACTATTTTTAAAGTTGTCAAAATATCATCAATACGATCTAGTAACCCTAAAAAATGATTTAATTTTTCTTCGTGTGATATATAGTTTGAAATTAAGGTAATGATTCTCTGTCTTGTTTTTTCCAATGAAATTTTATATTGAATTAATCTAAATAAATTTTAAAAAAAAATTTTAAAAAAAAAATAATTGGTTAATATTTTTTTTTTTTTTTGTTTTTTTTTTTTTTTTTTTTTTTACTTTGTATTTTGTGATTTTGATAATTTTTGGGTACAATGAACATCTGGTGTTGATGGTGTAAACATAATTTGTACTAAATTATTTAATTCATTTATATTCTTTTCTACAAAAGGTGTTACCTTTGAAACTGTTAAATCTTCAACAACGGTATCCTAAACAATTAATAAAAAATAGTGTTAATTTAATTTTTCTTTTTATTTTTGATAAAGAATCTACTTACTATTTCTATAGCTGACATGTTTGTTTTTTATTTTTTTAAAAAAATAAAAATAAAAAATTCATATACAATATATACAAAGTATATTACAAATAAACAATAAATATATGAAAATGAATATGTAATATATGAGTTTATATAAATAACAATAATAAAAATTAAACTATTATAATTAATTTTTATTTTAATATAAAAAAAAATAAAATAAAATTAAAATATAAATTTGAAAATCTTTTTAAAAAAAAGTTGGTGAGGTGTGTGTTTTAAAATTTGAGAGCGTTGTGATTTCTTTTTGAATATTATTAGACTCTAAATAAATAAAATATTATTGTGATTAAAATATTATTACAAATAATCTTTTTGATTGAGTGTTTATATATTTATATATGTGTGTGTTTGTGTGAGTGTGATTTTTTGTGTCTCTTTTTCTTTATCTCTTTCTTTCGTTCTATTTAATTATTTCACACAAACTATACTGATATAAATGAAAAAAATAAAAAAAATGGGTTAATATTAATTTTAAATGATAAAATTTAATTTAAAAAAAAAAAAAAAAAAAAAAATAAAAATAAAAATTTAAAAAAAAAAAATAAAATGAAAAATGTTTATATAATTAATTAACATACAAATAATACATAGAAAGGGAGTTAAAAAAACCAAAATAAAAAAAAGAAAAAAAAAAATAAAATAATTGACCCCACAAGAAACACACAGTTATTTTCCAACAAAAAAACCCCAATAAAATAATAAATAAATAATTTTTAATGCTATATATTTGATATATTTAAATTAATAAATTAATGAATCAATAAAAAAAATAAAAATAAAATAAAATAAAGGCAAAAATAAACTTAAAAAAAATATTTTAAAAATAGCTTAAAGTCGTATCATTACCTTTTTTAAACTTAGTGATTTATTATTTTATTATTTTATTATTTTATTATTTTATTATTATTTTATTTTAATTTTTTATTATTTGTTATAGTAGCAAATATTTTTAATATATATTTATTTTTTTTAAAGAGAATTAAAGTGATTCAAAATAATAGTGAAAAATTTAATTTTTTTTTGTTTGAATAGTAGAAATGAGAAAAAAAAATAAAAATAATTTAAAAAAAAAAAATAAAATTAAATTATAAAAAAAAAATAATATCTTTTTTTGAAATTTTTTTTTTTAATTTTTTTAAGAGAATTGGTTTAAATCGATCACAGTTTTAATCAATTGAGCATTTGTGTTAACTATGAAATATTAATAATATAAATTAAAAAAAAACAATTTTAAATAAAAAATTAAAAAATAAATTAAAATGCAATAAATGAAAATAAAATAAGATCAAATAAAATAAGAACAAAATAATTAATTTAAATTATTACAATAAAATAAAATAAAATGAAATAAAATTAAATAAAAAAATATCTATCGGTAAATATAAATAAATTAAATTTTTTTTTGTTTTTTTTATTTTTTAAAAAATCCAATATTTTTGTGTGGTTAATAAACTCATATAGTAATAATTTAATCATAATCAATAATATTTAATACACAAAAATTCATTTTTTTTAAATTTCTTTTTTCTTTTTTTTTTATTTTTTTTATTAAATTTTTTTTTTTTCAAAAAAAAATCAAAAATTTTTTTCCCAAATTTTATTACAAGACGAGTAGTATCACTCTACTATACAAAAAAAAAAAGAAAGAATGTTTTCAAATAGATGCACAGTTTTTTTATTAAATAATGCAAGATATATGAGTACAGCTAAACCAACAGTTGGTTTTATTGGTTTAGGTAATATGGGTGCCCATCAAGCAGCAAATTTAATTAAAAAGGGACACAATTTAATGGTATTCGATTTATCAAAGGACAATGTCAATAAATTAAAAGAAAAAGGTGCATCAGTCGCCTCATCACCAGCAGAACTTGCAAAGAACTGTGATGTTATTGTTACTATGTTACCAGCATCAAAACATGTCAAAGGCGTTTATTGTGGCGAAAATGGTATTCTTTCAACTGTCAAACCAGGTACTTTATTATTAGATTCATCTACTATTGACCCAGAAACTGCTCGTGAAGTTTCAAAGATCGCATCAGAACATAAAGCTACTATGCTCGATTGTCCAGTATCTGGTGGTACAGGTGGTGCTGAAGCTGGTACATTAACTTTTATGGTTGGTGGTTCAGAATCTGATTTCAATAAAGCCAAACCATACCTCGAATGTATGGGTAAAAATATTGTCCATTGTGGTGGCGTTGGTACCGGTCAAGTTGCTAAAGTTTGTAATAACCTCGTTTTAGGTATTTCAATGGTTGGTGTTAGTGAAGCTATGAATTTGGGTGTTAAATTAGGTATGGATCCAAAGAAATTAGCAGGTATCTTTAATACTAGCTCAGCCCGTTGTTGGAGTTCCGAACTTTATAATCCATGTCCAGGTGTTCTCGAAAACTCACCAGCTTCAAGAGGTTATACCGGTGGTTTTGGCTCTGCTCTTATGAATAAAGATCTTGGTCTTGCTGTCGATAGTGCCAAATCAATTGGTGAACCATTACCATTAGGTAACTCTGCTCATCAAGTTTATACTCTTTTAGTTGCCAAAGGTGAAGGTAATAAAGATTTTTCAGTCGTTTATGATTTTTTAAATAAAAGATCTGATAATTAAAAAAACAAAACTATAATATAATAAACAAATATACAAAAATAAAAGTTTTTTTTTTAAAATTTATTTCTTTACTTCATTTAATTACTTAATTATTTAATTTAATTAAATATTTAATTTAATTACTTAATTATTTAATTTATTTATTTATTTATTTATTTATTTATTTATTTATTTATTTATTTATTTATTGATTACAACCAATGATCGGATATATTTTTTGGACCCTTAATTGATTTAGATAAACGTTCTAAGACATTCTTCTTTCTAACAGGGTCTTTATACTTTTGACCAGGTTTGAGTGATAATGGTATTGAGTCATATTCATTATTTACTTTATTTTGGTTATATTGAATTTTATTTTTTAAAAATTGACTTCTGGTCTTTGAATTTACT